ATCTTGTGAAATAAAACTGACAGATAATAAAAACTTTTCCGTTCTAAATTATAATTTCCAAATATGTAGCTTTTATACCCTACCTTTCTGCAATATCAATATATACCAGCCTGAAGCTTTTACTCAACTTAAATATTCGTTTAAGAGTAAGCGTACACTATTAAAATTTTCATTCCAAAATTACGGTACAGTAACCGGCAGCAGTTTGCCCATTCAACTAAGTTCACAGTAAAGAAAATTTTATACTTTTACGGTTTGGAAACCGTTTACAACTAGTATGATTAAGCACCTATGAATAAAAAACAATACGGTTATATCTACAACTAGCATGGTTTCAAAACAACAACAACAAAAATAATAATAACTGGACATTGAAGTAAAGGCTCTTCATTAGGTGGTAGTTATTGGAGTTAGGTAATGGGTAATGAAAACTCTTCATGTGTTGAAGGGATTGCAGGAAATAATGCGTTGTCAATTCAGGGACTCGAACCCTTATTCTGTCTGTCATGAAATTAGCCCTTCCAATAATAATAGGTGCAAGGAACTAAATAGTTTCATTAGGTGGGCCTAGTTGGGTTGTTGGATTGTATTAAGTGAAAGCAGTTTATAAATGATTATTCACAGAGATAACACTTTGAATACCATCTTGTTTGTGGTAATTTGACTGTTAAATTATTGTTATTTAACCATTTTCTTCGAGAAATTTCGAACAGTGTACCATAAGAAAATTGCAGGCCTAACATCAAACTCTGCAGGGAGGGGGGGATTATAGTAATTATGGAAAAATCAAGTGTCTCAGTCTTCAAAGAGTTTCTGTCAGCTGTCCTCAGTCTACTGTGACGGCTGAAGCCTCTCTCACAGGAAGATGTGATCCCTGGTAAAATAGTACAAAAATCTCATTTTCTGAAAGATATTTTTAAAAAAAAACTTGCTGAACATTCTTCACTGTTAAACAGTTCCTGAGAAATCGTATTTTCAAGAAGTCGTATTTTTAAAATTCTATTTCTCAAGAACTATTTAACCGGTTTTGCTCAAATTTTGTATTTTGCCATTTAAAATTACGTAATTTAAAATGACGTGAAATATTATGTACCTCACAATTCAAAATTTTTTGACTGTTACTTCATAAAATAGTAAAAAGTTATAAATATTTACGAAAATTTATTTTTTGCGTTTAATTTATCTTTGGATAAAAATATTCATTATTGTATGTAAAATTTTTTCAATTCGTTTAAAAAGTTCTCGAGGTATGGCGAAGTATGCTCGTTCTCCTGATCAAACTATGGGGGCCATATTTTCCAGATTGCGGTATTTTGGGAGTCAGAAATTAAAATCCGTTGAAAAAAGGTCAGTTGAATGTTTATTCGGGGAAAGTTCGTTTTTGTGCCTGATTTGTAAATAATGATATCGTCTGCACCAATTAATTAACATATTTGAGATTACCTCTTCAAGCCATTAGGATTGAGTCCTAGAACGTGAAGATCATTAGATCAAAAGTCATTCAGGGTAGTTCACTTTTTTTCAATATTTTTTTTTCTGACGAGCTGAACGATGAACATCCTAAAATATAGCTTAGAAGTAAAAAGCTTTCTTCATATTTGACATATCTTCTTATATATTTTAACATCCTTTCATATAGCTTCTTAATATTACGTTTTCCAGTATGACGTATTGCTTAATTGCAGTATTTATGATTTTAATGGATTGAGAAACCAAATAATTCTGTATAATAGAATTCACCAAATTTAAGGAATATTCCATAGCGAAATAATAATTTTTAATTCAATTTCCCTAAAAAAACAAGCACTTCACTTATAAATAATTAATTCAGTTTACAAAAGGTTTACATAATTCGTGATCGCAACGAACTAAAGGGGGCGTTGTTGTATGAGACGAATACCTGCGATTTCTATATGAACAATCATTTAGTTACTCTGGAGACGTCTTTAATGTAGAGTGTAGCATTCTAACTTTCCTACTTTATTGGAGCCTATTAATTTTAAAAAAGAAAAGAAAAATTTTTGATATTCTTTCTTATACAAACGAAAACAAAATTGTATATCTTTTTTTTTAGAGAAGAAACATCCAAAACACATCGGAAAAATATTTTCTAAATAAACAGAAAAAAATATGTAGATTCTTATAAGTGTTAAAACCTAATGCCTAAGAAATAGCTTTACTAAATTTAATGTTATAACATGAAAGGCCCATTTAAACTTTACATTCCATAGTTGAAATAATCATTTAACTTCAAAAATTAAAATGAACAAAAAGTAGGACATAAAGCCGCATAATTTTATACAATTTAATTTTGTAAACAAAGTTTTTTGACAACAATTTATATCAAAAAATTTTAAGTTTCAATAAAAAATCAATATTTAGAAACTAAAAAACGTAAAATAAAGAATGCTTGCGAAACAAAAAAAGAAAGAAAAAAAACATTTCTTTTTTGACGCCATTTTTTGAAACTTTATCTTAGTAAACGTACGTTTTGGAAATGTTATTTTATTTGGAAACTTATTTATTAGAGTTCATATGGCGACAGCATCAGGTAGGTGAAAGAGAATAGAGTTTATTTTGAATCTGCCATTTTCCACCGAAATCCAACTGACTACTTTGATTATAAATAAAGTGTTTTATTTTATGATCAGTCGCTCAAAATTTTTAAGTGTAGATTAGCGACTCTTAAAAACTGCCAAATCTGTGGCTACGGTGTCGTTAATACGTAAGTACCGAATTTTTATTCCATATTTTTCTGAATCATATTACTTCAAACATTAGAATATGCAAGAAGTATACATTAACACATAATGTTATACCAACTAACGTTTCAAAAAAAATATTTTGACGAAAATTTTTATTAAAAAATTATAAACTAAAAAACGTAAAATAAAGAATTCTTAGGATAAAAAGCGATTATAAAAATTCTTCATATTGAAATAAAAAATTTTATAATGTTTCTTTTTTTTTATTCTGATAGTTCTTAATCACGTAAAAAGCCATTCTGTAGAGAACGATCATCAAATAAAAAAAAAATTATTAAGAAGCAAATTTTTATAAAAATCATAACACCCACCTGCTTTATAAATCCGAAGGATTCCAAATCAAATGTTCTTCGTTTGAAAATTTTATTCTCAAATAATACATACATAGATTATCCCTTCTACCTTAAGTGGATCGATAAATGAGTACCAAGCTTGCTTGGGAACTAAACGCTGGGGGTTTCGCGTTCGGCTGACCACCTAACAGGAACATCTGCTTCTGCACCCCAGAGCCCAAGCTCAAGAAAACTGAGATGGGCACCGGAGGCCTTGGCCCTCTATGGGCTGTCGCACCACTGAGTTTAGTTTTTAGTTTAGATTATCCCTTCATTACTTTTAGATACCACACAGCAAAATTGCATAATTGTAAGATCTCGATATGAATTTGAATATGTAGCTTAAAAACAGAATAGCTGAATTCTGGTTGAAATTATTCTTTCAAAACTAAAAAATACTTACCAAGAAAACGATAAAAATTTATTAATAATCAACATAAATGAAACTATTTCAAGTAGTTTGGATGATTCTTTATTGTTGTTTTCCGAATAATATCGATACAGAAATATATACTATTCTATAAAGAAGAAGAATATTCTATAACTTTTATACAGTTCTGTGTCAGTTCTGAATTTACATTTATTCCATGGAATGACGAAAACAATGTTGACTTCACTTTAATTTGTAATGAATTGAAGACAGAAAAAATTATTTTACCGTAATATACGCATCTGTAACAGCAAGTGATGGTGAAATCGGAAGTTACGTTGTTGGTAATAGAAAGGTAAAAATTATTGAGAAATTGTTCTTCGAATTCTTGGCGTGTTCTGCTTCAATGTTTGGCATGTTCTGGTTAGTTTTTCAAGTTCTTCTACCTTTTCCTTAGGGAAATTTTTCTTCTTATTTGCTGCTAAGAAAATGGCGTCCGTCATTACCAAAGGTTATGATGGAACTAATGCCCGATATTTTCAGGCTCCCGCTAGAGGGCGTACTCGAGCGTTGCGATCGCGAATTGATTATAATTTTCATTCCATTAAAAATAATTCAGTTTACTTCTGAAATCTTTTAATTCAAAAGGAAAAAAAAAAAAAAAAAAAATTTGGATGATTTTCGAAATCTTCAAATTTAATTCTAAATGCATTAGTATGGTAAACAAAATCAACTAAAAAGGGGAAAAGTTTACAACTTATTCAAAAGACTTATGTTGTCAAATTTAAAGCTTAAAATTCATGACGTATGCAAATTAATTTAAGTTCTATCTAATGTCTAAAAACATTATATTTTGATACTTGCAAGTGAGATCATGCTGGGTTCAACCAATCACGTTCGCCATACACGCCTGACGTCGCTCACTAGCATCGAAATTTATACGATCTTAAAATTGATCCCGTGTAATAGTAAGTCAAATCCTTTAAGCTGTAACGGTAACACGCCATGCATAGCCGCGTGATTGGGTGCAACAATATGATCAGTTGCAAGTACCTAATTCTGAAGCAAAAGTACAATAAAAGCAACAAAAAAATTGTTTTGTGTTCCACTTTCTTGCAACTTAAACTTTTTTTCTTTTCTTTCCAAAATAATCGCTTAAATATTTTCATGATGTAAGAAACGAGGAAAAGTGATCTCTAAATATATTTTGTAAAATAAAAAATGACGGTTTTGAAAATCCCTTCAACAGGCGAGATTTCTGAAAATAACCTAACCATCTGTCGTATCAAAAATATAAATTTAAAAAAAAAACACTGAACTTTCAGAACATGACATTTTAGTTCCAAGCATAGCGTGTTATCAATGTTTGACAGGAACTCAAAAAATATAAGAATGCACAATGAAACTCTTTTTCCATCGAAATCCATCAAAATCATGAAAACATAATGATTGACATGCGTCCAAATTTAAAGATTCACAGATGGTATGCAACTATAATTACTTCGTAAAATTTTTACAAATCCACTCGAACAGAGAACAGCACTTTGTAGACAGGTAAGCAAACTTAAAATTAAAAACATGCGTATTAATCAAACGGTTGTAGTGTTAGCTGTGGCTAAAAGAGATGCCGATAATAATTCCGAAAACGATCCTGAATATGACAAAGCAATGGAAGAAATTGAATCACGGAAAAACACATGCAAAAAATTGGAGTACGCTAAACATGGAACGGAACTCGTCACTAATTTAATTGGTGATATTCCGGACATCCCTCTTGTTACAACTGGTGCAAAAGTAGTAACTTCAGGTATAGCTGCTGCAACACACATAGCCGAGTTTGGAATAAACATTGCCGCCACGGCCATGGAATGTGATGATGTGAATTTCGATGAGATTAAATTAATTATGGATAAAAGATTTAATGAAGTGGACCGGAAGCTTGACAAACTGACAGAGGCAATGGAAAAAGTAACAGATATGGTGACTAAAACGTTAAGTACCGTTGAAAAAACAAGACAGGAGATGGAATGGGGATTTAAAAACGTGCTAGTAACGTTAAAAAACCATGACATACAAGCAATAATAAGTAAAATTAGCAAGTTTTCTCGATACTTCGAAGAAAAGAAAGACGAGGTAAGTAAGCTTCCAGCTGACCAATTCGTTTTCCGCTTAAAGCAGAAAGACGGTATATTAGATTACTTGAAAAAGGTAAGATTGCCGGAGGGTTTGCATTCTGATTTGTTCGAACTCATGGATAAAAATACTAATTTTTCAATTCCCGAAAATGCAAACGACTCCAAAGCATTTCAAGCTTTATATGCCTTATTCTACGGAACACAAACGTACGCATCGGTTATGTTTTTTCTTCTTAAACAACATTCTTATCTTGCTGATTATTACTATCAAAGAGGACAAGACAAAAAATTCAACGAAGAATTCGATCTTTTGGTAACTACTTTTAATGAATTTAAAACGTCTCTTACAGGAACCAATGGTCTGATTAATGCTGTAGTTGCTACCTTAGATAATGTAAAAAATAAACGATTCATTAAATTTGTCAATGATCAGCTGTATAAAGATATTTCTAAAAGAATAGATGGGTTAAAAAACCTCAAATATGGTATAACAAAAATGAGGTTAGCTGTCATAGAAGATACACCGGAACCAGTAGTTGATATAGATTTTAATGAGCCTGATATTAGGTCAAACTATGGTGATTGGGATGATAAATCTAAAGTAAGGTACGCTCTCCAATTCAGAGTTGATGGAATTTATTCTAAATTTAGTGAATGGACTGAGCCTCTGAAAATAGACAGGAAAGCAAATCCAACCATACATATCTCCATAGATGAAAAAGGAAGAGAAAGACTCGTTTTTCGAAAATTTAATGAAGAGAAACCTCAACTAGCTAAAGTTTTGACAAAATATGAGTCGGAATTTCGAGACATTGATCGAGATCTTTACAACGCTGCAAGAAGCAAAGATGAAACAAGACCATTACAATATATACCTTCTTTACTGAATGTCGGGGCAAATATTGATGCAGTTTTCGAAATGAAAAGAAGCGTAATGCATGCTGCCGCTGAAAGCGGGAATGTAAAGATTGCAATGCGGTTTCTTTTGGACGTAAAAAAAGAATTATTTGATGCTGTCGATGAAAAGGGGTATACAGCGATGCATGTTGCTGCTAGCACTAAAAACGCTGGTTTCATAAATTTTTTAATTACCCATAATGCAGATGTAAATGCCCGGACAAATGCAGACAAGTTAACAGCATTGCACATAGCAGCAAAAAGAGGTCACTATAACACAATTAAAAATTTGCTTGCTAGTGATAAAATAGAAATAAATAAACCAGAAAAATCAGGATACACACCTCTACATTACGCTGTTCGAGGCACACCAAAAGCTCTTAAGATTTTGCTTGATGACGATAAAATTTCAGTAAACGCTAAGTCAAATTTTGGCTTGACTCCTTTCCACTTGGCTGTTATGAAAGGTGATCGAGGAATCTGTGATGCTTTGTTGAGTAGTGGTAAAGTAGAAGTGAACGCTGGGAATAAAGACAATGTGACGCCGCTGCACTTTGCAGCGATGGCGGGAGATGTGAATATGGTTCAGTACCTTCTCTCAGGGAAAAAGGAAGTGGAAGAAGTAAATATTAATGCACTAACATCCGAAAATAATTGGACACCCCTTCATTTTGCTATTTATTTAAAGCAAGAAGAAGCCACCTTTGAATTACTGAAGAATGAGAAAGTTGATATTAGTGTAACTTCAAAAGAAAATTACACTCCTCTCCATCTTTCTATTGCAACTGGTCAATTGAAAATTTTCGATGAATTATTAAAGAAAGGCTCTAATATAGAATCATTAACAAAGGAGAAGTTTACGGCTCTCCATCTTGCGGTTTTGAGATCAGAAATGGAATTTACCACAAAGTTGCTGGATAAAAATGCTAGAATAAATGCAGTATCCGATGATGGTTCTACTCCTTTACATTTGGCTGCAAAAGCAGATAGAACAGATCAAGCTGTACTTTTAATAAGTAGAGGAGCGAATATGAGACTGTATGATAGCAAAAACTTTTTACCTCTTCAGTACGTTATTAAGAATATGAATTTTGAAGTTTTGAGAGCGGCTGCCAATCAAGATCCAAGTATAGTTGATTTAAATCAAGGAGAGGGCAAAGCTTTAGGAGAATATTGCGGATCCTTTTTAATCGAGAAAATGTATTATTACTACAAGAATAAAGATTCAGTTGAATACAGTAAGTATAAAGGTTTGCAACTACTTGATGTTTTCAAAAAATTAGGTTTATATGATTTATTAAGAATTCTAGGAAAAAATGATACAAGTCCCCATAAAGAAGACGCAATTAAATTTGCCCTTGCAGCTGCTAGCTCAGTGGCAACACAGTGTATCAAAGACAACAGAGAGACATGCCCCTTTACTGGAGTTCGTTATAAACGGAGTATTGAAAAATCTTATTTTGATTACTATCAGTATCTGCCTAAATTACAGCCTTTAAACTTTGCACAGAATGCTTTCAATATTTTCAAGATTGTAAGTAGTACAAATCAGCTAGAGGCTAAACAAACTAATAACTACCAATCTTTTTCGCACTCCATAACACCAATAGTGCAAAATGTTGATACGAACGGAATATTGCTGTTGTTTGATATACTAATCAGAAAATTTACGAACGAGAAATATACTATGAATGTCAATAAATCGACATCCACTTTGGAATCTCAAGCTACGGCATTAGAAGTCATTGATAAATTTAGTGCTTTTGTAGATTCTGTTAGTGACGTACCAGCGGAAGAGCTAATAGATCTCGCTAAATTGCACTCAGATGTTTACAAATCATTAGAAAGTGGAGACAACAATATAATTTTCGATCTATTCTGTCAGCATTTAAGAAAAATTGTAGATGAGGAGCAAGTTGCAGCTTTCCTATCAAGTATCAAAACTGACAATGAGGATCAAAATCAGGAAAATTCTGTTAATACTATGATACAATATTGTTTGTCGGAAGCTTACACTGCACCCTAATCTCGACGCTTGGACAAATATTTTTGCAATTAATGGTAATTAATTATTTTTTATTTCTCAATATCTTTCTTTACCTTTGCTGTAACCTTACCACTTTTTTATCTATTTTTTTAACAATGTAAAATAATCTTATCATTGGCACACATTATTTGCTCTTCAATTGCATTTATTTACAGTAAATGAATCTTTTTCACTATTTATGGCACTAATTTTTCACACGTATTAAAAGCACTTACTTAGTTTCTTAGCACATTGATTTCACAGATTTTTTCTACACTTTTATTGCACGCATTTTCCTTTAATTTTTCGAACAAACCATTATAATTTTAGTTATCATATAAAAATTTATTTAGAATTTATTTACTTCAAATTGATAGACTGATGAATTTGAGTTAATGGTATTTCGCGGCTTCTTTACAAAAATTTAGCTTCAAATTGTCTATTTTGAATTTTGAAATAAACTCAAATGAAATTATAGTAAAATGGAACTTTGGTTGTAAAAGTGTATGGCCATTTTAGGTAAATCATTTGCCGAAATACATTTCTTCATTCGTTGAATTTATCTTCAAGATTTCCAAAAAAGATTTTACTATTTTCTTTAGTAGTTTTTTTCCCAAGTTGGAAAACCTTATAAAACCGAGCAACTACCTCTTTTACCGAAAATTCTTGTGCTCGTTACGACATTTTTCGTCCTTTTTAACAGATTTTTGTCAAACATTTTTAACAACGAAGTTTTTTAAATCCTGTTTCTAAATCAAGTGCTGATCGAATTTCAGAACAAAATGTATTGTTTAATTTTAAAAAAAGCGAAAACTAATGGAACCTGAAACATTTTTTTTAGATATTTCTTTCATTATTTTAATGTTGTGTTACGAAAAAAGTGCTGAATTTCAGAACAAAATGATTTTTTCAGTAAAATAAACAAATTAAAGAAATTTCAAAAAAAAGAATTTTATTGTAATTTTTTAGATATTGTAACTTTATTGTAATTTTTCAGATATTTTTAATTTTTTTTAAAGAAGAATTTTTTAAGGTTTTATCACTAATCAGACGCTGAATATGAAAACAAAGGGAATTGTTAAATTAAAAAAAGAAAACTAAGGAAACCTGAAACATTTCTCTTTTTTTTAAATTTTTTAAAGTTGTGTTACTACAACAGTGTTGAATGTCAAGAAAAAGAATTTTTTCAATAAAAAAAACTAACTAAAAAAATAAAAGATTTCAAAAATTGTGTTTTTATTGTAATTTTTCAGATATTCCTTGCATTTTTTAGCGAAGAACTTTTTGAAGTTGTGTTACTAAAAAAGTGTTGAATTTCAGAGTAAAATCATTTTTCATTAAAAAAAAACTAACTAAAGAAACAAAAATAAATAAAAATTGTTTTTTTACAGTAATTTTTCAAATATTTCTTATTTTTTCAAGAAGATTTTCTTGAAGTTTTATTACTAATCAGGTACTGAATTTGAAGACCAAATGAATTGTTCAATTAAAAAAAAAAAGAAAACTAAAGAAAACTGAAAAATTTTTGCTGAAAAAAATACTAAAGATATATCTATATGCTTGAATTTGTGACAATTTCTGATCAAAAAAAGGGCTGAATATAAATGTTTTCAAATTTGAATCCTGTATCTCTCTATAAACAAAACTAATATCGTTCAAATTTGCTACAACACTGATATGGTGTAAAGTTTAACCATGTTATGATACAACTTAAACTTAATTATGTTATACTATGTGTCAACTTGAAAGGTAGAGGCGACTCAATTTAACTTCTCATTAAGATTGTAGCAAATTTGGTTCTGGTTTGGTGTTGTGGTTCAAGTTGCGACGCTGAGGTTCAACATTGAGTGAACTTTTCAGAAAATTTGCTAATTTTTATATCTCTTCTAAATTTTTATAAATTTGCAAAATCTTTTCTGCAAAATTTCTGATATCTGATGAATTAATTTCGAAATCAAAATTAAATGCAGAATCTATAATTCTTCCCAAATTCAATTACTACAATACAGATTTACCATTGCTTCGTTTTTTTTGTAACATTATAATTATGTGAAAGTTATTTAAAAAGAAGTTGTGAAATAAAAATGACAGATAATAAGAATTTTCTGTTTTAAATTATATTTTAAAAAATATATGTAGCTTTTATACCCTACCTTTTTGCAATATCAATATATACTAGTCATTACCTTTTACTTATCTTAGATATTCATCAAAAGAATTTGTGTACACTATTAAAATTTTAATTCCAAAATTACGGTATAATAACCGGCAGCAGTTATCCCGTTCAATTAAGTTCACGGTAAAGAACATTTTATATATTTACGGTTTGGAAGCCGTTTACAACTGGTATGTTTAAAAAAACTATGAATAAGAAACGATAGGGTTTTTTAACGATTTGTAACTTGCATGGTTTCAAAACGGTAAAAAAAAATTATTGGACATTAAAGTAAGGCTTTTCGTTAGGTGGTAGATATTGAAGTTAGATAATGAACAATGAAAACTCTTCATGTGTTGAAGGGATTGGAGGAAATATTGTAGTATCAATTCATGGACTTGAACCAGATTAGCCATTTTGGTTATAATATGTACAAGGAACTAAATAGCTTCATTAGATGGGCCTAGTTGGGTTGTTAAATCGTATTAAGTGAAAGCAGTTAAAAACGATTTGTCTCAAAGTTAAAAGTTTCAATGCCATCTTGCTTATAATTATTTGACTGTTTTGTTTGAATAAGGTAAAATAACTATTGAATGAATTGTTATTTAACCATTTTTTCCAAGAGACTTTCCAATGTAGCGTTTTTAAATTCCATAGTATTTGTTTTTAATTTCTGATGGTAGGTTAAGCACATTATTTTTGCTACTTCATGTCCTTTAAACTCCTAATCACTCTTCTGAAGCTTTCAATATAAATAAAAACCTATGCATAAAACTGTGGTAGTTGTGCAAAATCCCCGTCGACCAAGGAAGTTAGCATAAGCTCCAAGTGGACACCAAATAACCAGTGAGAATTAAATGAATATCAAAACAAAGAATTTATTTTTTAAAATAAACTGTTGACATTATCTTTTTAGAACTTAAAATTAAAAAAATTGCGATACAGTTTATTTTCAAAAATAACTGAACGTAAAAGTATGTTATCAACAAAAAAATGCTATTTTAATGAAGCATCTAAAAGAAAGTATCTGAACTATAGTTTTCAAATAAAGTCGACGGGTATTTATGCAAGTACTGAAATTACGAGCTTCAAAATAATTATAAAAATCTAAATATAGAAGAACCTAAGACATTGGTTTGATAAAGAAGTAATTTTATCACTTTATAAGATACTTAACTAAAGCCAAGCTTATTGTGAAGCAAAATTAATTATATATGTTCATTCATTGTATAAATTTACTGCAAAAGCCTACATTCATTGTAAAAAAGAGGTAATATTGTGTATGTATTACATTAAATTTGCAAAAATGTGATTGCATTTTTTTCCTTATGTAATATATTTTTAATTATCATGGTTTTTGATATTATGATTGATCTTTAATTAATGTGTGCATATTTTTATTTATTAATCAAAATGCTACTGAAATCATTAAATAGCTAATATATATAAATGCTAATAATTTATTTATACCTATTTTACCTCTAAATTTTGATTTTAAATCGGATATGTTTTTATAAGTTTTAGAAATAATTTTTAGAATTAAATTTAGAGCACAAATTTTTTTTTACTCTTGAACATTGTTGCAAATATTAAAAAACGCTGAATGTTCAGTAACTGCTAATACTAACACCAAGAAACATTTTTTTTCTCTATTGCATGAGATTTTTTTAATGGATCTTGTATATTTTCACGTCTCTGATTTTAAATCTGCAATAGATTTCTCTCTCTAAGCTACAGATATTTCTTAAATGACATTTTTAGCCTATCTTTTGTCAAAATGTACAAGTTTGAAAACTTTTATATAACAGGAGGTCGCATAAAAGTTGCGACAAACTTATACGGGAGTTAGGGAACATCAACAGGAAATATTAAAATTACATAGGAACCCATGCCCAGAAATGTCGTCATGCACCGCTAGGAGGGCTTCCTTATTATGGCCTGTTCAGAAGCATACGAAGAAGTAGTTCAAGATAAGAAAACGCCTCAATCCATGTACGACAAACTTTAGGGGCATGTGTTTCCATGCAATTTCAACTCTGATTTTGAGCCATAACTGCGGTAGAGGTTTGTCGCTATGCATTCCACTGTAACGGAACCCCCTGTAACGTTTTTAAACTTGTACATTTCGACAAAAAATGTCATTTTGAAAAAATCTGTAGCTTTAAGATCAAAGCTAATTTCAGATTTGAAATTCCCTCATACGAATTAGGAAGGATCAAGTATTTGAATAAATTTAATAAAAACTTTTTCCCCAGTCTAAGCAGCCACTTCTTAAAATCAAATCTGCAGGAGCAAAATCATCACAATACCGCAACATACTAAAACCTACTTTTTATAAAATCATTATTCCCGGCTTGTAAATTTAAATTTTTACGGAGCATATATTCAAAATGGATAAAAACTCTTCTTTTTTCTAATTTTTAAAGTTTTTATAGCATATAAATAACAAATCTCATTGTGCTCACAACTAATGAGAAGTAAAAAGTTATTATTAAAAGTTGGATTACATGTGTTTTAAGGAAATTGAAGAGTAGGAGTTTAAAAAAATTTATGAAACAGACAGTGTGAAGAATCATGAATGAAAACAGGTTTTGAATTGAGAAAAGTTTTAGAATGCCTATCTTCATTGTAAATGATCATCACTATTTCAATAACGTAAATCTAGCTTTAGTAGAACTACGAAAAACGCTTGATCATTAACAAACGAACTTTGCAACAAAAAAGAAAATGTTGAAGGGAAAAAAAAAATTTTAAATTTTGCTAATCAAACAAATATGCTTAAATTATTGTTTTAAAAAAATGTAGCGACTAATTTAGATTTTAGTGTATTTTCAAAGTTAAAATC